CTTTCCGATATCAACGCCAGGACAATACTTCGGAGGACACGGATTCTTCAGCATACGTGAAATTTCACGATGCACCGGACTCAATCTCGGCTTCTTTATCTCTTCTATAAAATAACGATTGCCTTGTCTCACTTCGGTCGTCATCGGTAGACACGGGTCCAAACCATTCTCTGCCTTGGAAATTCTCAATCCTACCGAATACAATAATACATATCTCACACTGTCGCTACTCAAGCTCCCCTCGCACTGTCGCCTAGCTGCTCCTACGCCTAGGCATACGCTACTGCGACGTCTATGTTATCTTCCTCGGTGTCAATTAAGCATGCGAAGTGTGTAATGCGATGCGCGACGCGGTTCTTTTGATGAGCGTTCACGACTTGACAGTTCATAATACAATAATATAACTTTTTTAATTTTACTTTTTCTAACTGAAAATTTGTTTAACATATTAGTGAAATTTTTCTAAATAAAATGAGATCAAACGTGATATAATTTGAACCGTATTGGCCTTCACATTACCCACGAAACCTAGCCCCCCCCATTCACGGTCCGTCGAACTCGTGCCACTCATCGTCCGCAAAGCCTAGTCCCCCCCCATTCAAAGCGTCGTTTCAACCCAGTTCCTCCCTTCCCAGTGACGCTTAAACTTATTGTTAGTCCCTTCCTTCAAACTGTCGCAAAAACCTAGTCTCTCCCTTCACACTGTCGCTGTTATACAAGCCGTGCTTTCACATAGGTTGTGCCTCTGAATTTTCCAGGCATAGCTTATGCATTCGTCGGACAATGTGTATAGATATTTCATGCATTTCTTTAGCAATCCGTTTTTGTAATTTATTCAAAGCGATAATGAAATCGAACGAATTACTCCATAAGTATTTTTTAGCGTCGAGTCCTCTATAGAGGGGATGCACGTGTCAGAGGTCGATGCGTTCAAGGACTTTAACCCACTTCTCAGGGTTCGTTGGGCTACCGATACCCGGACCATATGTCTGTCATCGGACTTGGGCCCGGCGGTAGTTGATACTTGAGACGCGGCGACTTCTAAGGGTCGCGGATCTTCTGTTTACGAATCGGCGATAGAGAGTTCGATCGCCGATCTTCAAAAGTACGCGCGTTTGGCCGATGACCCGAAGTCATGGTGCTGCATGGCACGTGTAAAGCGATAAGAGTGTTCTCGAAGGATCTGGCCACAGAGTGGGGAAGATGTTGCATCTTCTGGTAAGAGGACCATGAGATACGGCATGGCACTTATCCCAGAACATTGAACGAATACGAATCGCTATATCATATCTAACAATCTCTATATTTTATCCAACATATTAATAA